CCAGCCTGGGCAACATTGCAAAACTCTCTCTACTAAAAATACAAAAAATTAGCTGGGAGTGGTAGTGCACACCTGTAATCCCAACAACTCGGGAGGCTCAGGCATGAGAATTGTTTGAACCCCGGAAGCAGAGGTTGTGGTGAGTCAAGATCATGCCACTGCACTCCAGCCTGGGCAACAAAGCAAGACTCTGGCTCAAAAAAAGGGGGGGGGTGGGAGAAATGAAAATGTATCATTATTTTAATATTTTAATAATAAAATATGATTCTCTTCCCAACTCAACCCTCTGCACCCAGATAACAACCCTCTTTCCCTTTCACTCTCTACACACCTAAGAGAGAGGGTAAAGAGGGAAATTCTGAATGGAAAACTTTATAGGCCATTGGCTGGGCAAGTGGGGCAGAGACTGAGCGAGGGCTGAGAGGAAAAGGAGCAGAGAGTGGACAGCAGGAGAGGGGAGATGAAATCAGTGGACAATCTGAGCTGTGAATGGAGGGCAAGGGGGAGAGTCTCAGAGGCCTTCTCCTTGGTTTTCAGCAGGCTGGGGATGGGTTGCAGAAGGAGAGAGGGCATATTTTTAGCATGCAAGTTCCCCACCTCTGGAGTCAAGTTCAGAGAGAGAGCTGGAGGGCTCAGTTCCACGGCTTGCAGAGGGAAGCTGCAGGGAGTTGCTACTGAGCCCAGCTGAGATTTAGCACATTGATTTTTGCCTTTACTTTTTTTCTAGGTGCTGTGGTTTGTGATTAGCGGGGAGGTTGGGGAGGACAGCCAAGGCTTTTAAAGGTGCCAATACTCTAGCAAGAAATAAGGAAGAGTGGCTGCTAAAAGAGCCTAGATTTTCCATTCTACCCTCCTGTGCCTCATTTTTCTTTTCCTCTTTCCACTTTCTTGGCTGAGCCTGCCTGTCAGTGAGATGATCAACAGCTATGGGAAGCACAGAGCCAGAATGGGAGGAGGGCTCAGAGCAGTAGTCAGGACATTTGTCCTGAGCAGGACTGATGGCCTAAACTTGACCCTGGCCGCCCAGCTCCCCAGCCCAGGCCCACCTTCCTTCATTCACTCTTTCACTCTTGTATCCATTGAATACCTATGCAGTGTCTACATGGAGTGTCTACTTAAGTCAAGCACTAGCCATCCCATTGTGACAAAACAGACATGGTCCTGACCTCAAGGAGCTTACACTCTGGGAAGACAGGTAACATTGAATAAACAACAAGAAATCAATATGTGATTACAGATCACTGCTAAGTGCCACAAAGGAAAATGAGAGGACTCTATGAAGGAGAATTAACAGGTAGAGGCTGCCTACTTTAGATGGTGGCAGGGATGGTTTCTCTGAGAGGAGACATTTAAGCTAGAACCTGAAGGATGACATAAAGCAGAGGTGAGACCCAGATCACTACCCACAAGGATGGTGTGCCAAGGAAAAGAAGAGACAATGAGGAAATAAGCTCAGGGGGACTTCTCAAATCCAATAGAATGGATTGAGAGTGACTTTCCATATTTTTGGTTATGCTTATTCATTATCATCCACCTGCAAGGTTGCATCTGTCAAAAGAAATACAGTATCTGAATATACAATGCCCTTGACATGTGCACATTAAGCTACATAGTGGTGTATATCTTTTACTTTTTAGATAGAACTTTCTAAATTGAAATAATTTATGAATTATTTTATAAATGAGGATTTAAAATACTTTTTATAAGGCCAGGCATGGTGGCTCATGCCTATAATCCCAGCACTTTGGGAGGCCAAGGCTGGTAGATCACCAGAGGTCAGGAATTTGAGATCAGCCTGGCCAATATGGTGAAACCCTGTCTCTACTAAAATTACAAAAAAGTAGCTGGGTGTGGTGGTTTGCGCCTGTAGTCCCAGCTACTCAGTAGGTTTAGACACAAGAATTGCTTGAACCCAGGAGGCAGAGGTTGCAGTGAGTGGAGATCACGCCACTGTACTCCAGCTTGGGCCACTGAGAAAGACTCTGTCTCCAAAAAATAAAAATAAAAAATAAAATACTTTTTATAAAAAAGTCAAGAAGCCAAGATGCTTGTGGAATTAACTCTCTTCCTCATTTTCATTGGGGAAAGCTTCACATATTTCATAAAAATTAGGAAATTGAGTGCGTTCCAAGTTCTTCCTTATACGGTGGTGACATTCCCATGTTGTAGCATTTGAGCTATCACCCTCAAAGGTCATTAAATACATGCTGTGTATGTTTGTGACCATGGCCTCAACTATTTTTCTTTCCTTTTTCTTTTCTTCTTAGTCTCTACCTGTAAGTCCATCATCCAAGAAATATTTACTATATACCTAGTGTGTGTCAGGCAGCATTCTCACTGGGAACATAGCAGTAAACAAAACAGAACGAAACAGACTAAGATCCTCTTCTCATGAAGCAGGGGCCCCGATCATGCAGACTACAATCAGATTTCATTTGTTGGTAAGATGGCAATCATTCGGAGAGTTTGACTAATGTAATCTGATTTCCATTTTAAAATAAAAATGTTATGACTGCAAATAGATAGTGGGGAAGCAAGGCTGGAAGCAGGGAGGGCAATGAGGAAACCTTTGCAGTACCATAAGGAAGTTTTTAGCTTGGAACTAGGTGGCACAGGGTAGCACAGCCTGACGGTAAGAGGTAGCTGATTTCTGGACATATTTTGCAGGTAGGGCACACAGAATTTGCTAATGGACTGAATGTGGAACATGAGAAAAAAAGATGAGTTAAGACAAGCTTTATGGTTTCTGACCTAAGAAAGTGGAAAAATAGAATAAATGTTTATTGCGATGGGAGGAGCTTCAGGAGGAAGTCTTGGGCTTGCTAGATTTGGAAAGCCTGTGTTAAATTAAATAAGCAGGAGGCCATTTGCCTGAGGCTGTTTCTCTACTTTGACTCACTATGTAGCAAATTGCAAGCTAACTCAGTAAGTAAACAAACTGAAGACCTAATTTAGAAGTATATATTGTGTAATAGCCCGATCTCACCAGCTGAACCTTGGTTAATTACGGGCAGCCAACTGATCAGACCATGTCCAAATAAGGCAAACACCTAGCTGTAACCAATCAAGCTATTTCTGTACTCCACTTCCATTTTCTGTCTGTAAGTACTCACTGCCCACTTTGCAGGGCACCTCTTCTGGTTCTGAGTGCTGCCCAACTCATGAATCATTCTTTGCTCAAATAAACTCTGTTAAATTTAATTTGTCAAAAGTTTTTCTGTTAACACTGATTAGGCATCCACATGGAGATGTTGACTAGATGGTAAACCATATGTGTGCCTGGAACTTAACTAACACTTACCTCATCCATAAATTTGGCCAATTTTCTTTTGGCCAGCCCAAAGTCTTTTCTATCTTGGCATGACACTTCATGATGCCTTTGAATCTGGGCAGTTCCATCCTCACTCCACACTTCTGAGTGGGTGCAATTTCTTCCAGGTTCTCATGCTCCTCTTTCCTCCTAAATCGAAAGATGAACAGGTAGTTAGATGATATCCTGTGTTTCAAAAATGACCATTTTAATGCCCCTCACACCTAACTTGCATCATCAACGTATTTCCAGTATCGTAAGCTAAAGCAAAAACTCTTGCTTAAGTTGTATTGCAGTTAAATAAACTAACTCTCGGGGCTTCGCTCTATTTCATGCTCACCAAGCAAGCCTCTGACAGCAAGCTTTCTTATATACCTTGATATGGGAAATGGGTATTTGGAACAGTGGAAACAAGTTATTTTTTCCCCTGTAAAGATATACTAATGCTAACTTATAAACACTCTCTAAAGCTCAGGGTCTTAACACAATACAATTTTATTTCTTGTCCACATGATAGTCCAATGTGAGTCAGGCATCTCGCCTGGTGGCTCTCTTCCATGTGGTGACTCCTGGATCCAGGATCCTTCTATTGTGTTTCTCCTCCACTGCAGGGTCCTTCACTTCCAGCACTTGGGACACTTTTTGGCTATATCTACAAGTGGCATATATCACTTCTGTCCACATTCCCTTAGGTAGAGCTCACTCATATTGTTTCACTTAACTGCAAGTAAGGCTGGGGGATATAGTCTCCCTATGTGCCGAGGCAGTAGAAACAGGATTGGTGAGCACCTAGCCCATCTTTACCACTAACAGTTTATCCCCCTAATAAATCAGTACACTGGCACTCTATTTTGTCTTTGTTCTCTTAAGAATGTTATTGTGTGACTCTGCAACGTGTGATTGCTCCTGGTGAATCAAAGTGATAAAGCTACTGATTCTGCAATTTGAGAGCCCAACCATGCTGACCTCAAAGTGTAGTCAATCCATGAAGTTCCTCCCACCGCAGCTCATCCTGAACACTGCTCACCTGACTCATCAAGAAAGGTTTAAGTACATTAGCTGTGCTCTGTTTAATATGTCAGTGAAGTGTGTGCTAAATTGAGTTATTTCTAGGATCTCTTTCTAGTTCCCCAGTAAGCCAGGTTCTGAAGAATAGGGGTTCAAAAAAATAGAGAAGAAGAAAAGGAGGGAAAAGGCTGGATTAATGGGAACAGGGGTAAGGGGTGAGACCGGGGCTAAACGGTGAAGATAAAAACAGACACGTAAACGAGCAAAAGGAAGAGAAGGTAATGGTGAAAGTCAATACAGTAAGGAAAGGGGTTGTGGGGGACAAACACTGAGAGGGCAAGAACTCAGAAAAGGTGAAACAAAGGTGAGCAAGGAGGCTGAAGACAGGTCAGCTGCAGCGGGAAAGAGGAAAGGGTCCTTTAAGAGACACATCAAGCCGCAGGTGTTGTCCGGGAGGCTGGCGCAGGGCTGTCGCTGCACGTGACACGTGCTCAGCGGGGAGCGTCTCGGGAGCTGCGGATCCCTAGGGCCTCCATTCCCCCCTCCCCCCCGCAAGCCAGCTCACGTGTCCCACCTGGGAAGGGCAGGGGTGGGTGGGGAATGGTGGAGGGAAAGGGGGGAAAGCGGAGAAACAGGAGGGAGGGGGAAAGCTGCCGCTGCAGAAAAGAAACGAGTAACTAACCCGCTTTGTGCTTGGCTTGCGAGGTGTTTCCTTCCCGATGAGACTCGAAGCTGTCACCTCTCAGTCTCTGTTTGGAATAAATACACCCGCCCACCAGAGGGGAGGCGGCGCCGTGCCTGGCCGCCCCTGGGAGGTACCTGGTCGCACCTGGGAGGTACCCGGTCACACCTGGGAGGTACCTGGTCACACCTGGCCGCTCGTCTCCGGGAGCCACGAGCGAGGACCGCCTCCTGGACTTTCTACCGCTCTGCAGGAGGATCTGATGCCTGTGACCGACCGCGAGACCGACCCAGGAGTGCCCGGAGGGGTGGAGGGTCTGGAGACTGTAATTGGGGAACTCAAGAGAGGGGTGCGGGCCGAGGAGCAGCAACGTCCACGGAATCGGCCATAAAGGATCAAAGGGGCCAAATAGGCCCCTGTTTCTGGTTTTCTCCTCCAAACATTGGTCTCTGCGGTTTTTTGGGCAACATTTTCTAGCGGGCTAGCTAGTAGCAGGCAGATTATGCGCGGAAGAGGTCGCGCCACTGGGGAGGACTCACGTGCTCGCTGGAGAGGGCACCTGGGGCCCTGTGGGGATAGGGTGGGTGGGTGGGGGGGGGGTTCCTGGAGGTCACTCTCTCTTTCGGGAAGCTTCCCAAAGCTGGGAAAGCTGTGACCTTGTACCTCACTGAATGGAGTCATATTCCACTCCATCACTATGGTCTCGATTCTCCTCCCCTCCCTTCCTCTACTCCTTCCCCTTCCCCCTCCCTTTTCCCTCCTCTCCCCTCCCCTCCCCTGCCTTCCCTTCCACCTCCCCTGCCTTCCCTTCCACCTCCCCTGCCTTCCCTTCCACCTCCCCTGCCTTCCCTTCCACCTCCCCTCCACTGGCTTCCTCCTCTCCCTCCCCTTCCCCTTCCCATCCTCTCCAGTCTCCATCCCCCCTCCCCCTTCTCTCTGCCTGCTTCTCTCTTCTCTTTTTTTCTCTCGTTGTTCTTCTTCCTGGGCCACATCTGAGACTTCTTCGGGCCCATGGATGTTACCCAGTGTACAGAGCACTTAATATAAAGGGCATCACTAAGGCCACCTCAAATGAAGGTTTCTTTCCTCAGGCACCTTGCGTGACTTTCTTCTGTTACACCAAGCCTCCTCACTGCCAAACTCCACCCCAACCCTGTTGATTAAAAATGCACAATTTACAGCTGCTTCAAGCATCTTTTCAGTTGGAACAGCTGATAATACATTGCACAGTTCTAAAGCAGTGGAGCTGACATTCCAAGCTTCCCAGAAAAACCACTTGATCACTTCAGTTACATGTCAACAGTGACAATAATGATGCAGTCTTGTTTCATTCAAATATTTAAGCATGGATTGAGTGTTCTTTCCATGTACCTGCAGTTGTCAGCCTTCTTTGCAGCTCTTCGGGCCAGGTTCCCTGGCGCTGGGGGATGGCATGGGCAGTTGGTGTCTTCCCTGCTTCTGCTTCTGTCTGCCTCTTGGAAGCTTTGGAAGCCAAGGCTCTTGGGTTGCCTGAGTTGCCTGGGTCCACCAAGTATTTCTGAGCTCCATTCTTTTTTTTTTTTTTTTTCTTCAAAGCACTTTTATTTTCAGAAAGGAAAGGACACCAAAAATAGGCCTGTCCTGTGCAGATGTCCAATAACCTCAGTGTGGGGACAAAATGCCCCCCAGGCATTGGAAAGACAGATCTTGTAAGTTCCATTCATCGGTACACTCACCCATTCATTCGTGTTTATCGAGTGCCTGCTTGGTGTTGGGACAGATGAGGATGGACGTTCCTGCCATCGTGCTGAGCTCCAATCTTACAGACCTCTTCTTCCTTTTAGTTCTTTCTCTGTTTCCTCCTTGCTCATAGGGGCTCCTGGCCCTTCCTTTACTCTTCTGTTTATTTTAGCAACTCTGTAGTCTACTTTCTAGAACGACTACATGACGGAGTTCCTTTATCTTCGTACAACTTCAACCCCTGGCCTTGGCAACACTGGGCTTACCTGGATGCTCCAGGGTCCAACCCTGTCACCACATTACCTTGAGCTACACAGTGTCTAGCAGGCTCCAGGAAGCTGGCATCCTCTGTTGGCAAGTCCCAGCTGGGTTCTGCTTATAAATTAAGATTCTTAAGCAGTTGAGTCTATTTACTATTCCAGAGACACAGCCTAATTCCCACCTTAGTCTCAGTTTCTACTCAGGATACTGCCACTCTGAAGGAAGGCTGTGGAGCTGGAAATTTGAATAAGACAAAATGACTGTCTTTAGATAATAGAGTGCCTTGTAGATTCCCAGAGCATGACTCGACCTTAGACATCCTCTAGTCCAGTGCCTCCCAAAGGAGATGCGGAGGATTAATAGAGCTGAAACATGACAGCGAGGGGAAACCAACAGCGTTTCCGAGCATCTGTAACATCCAGGGCAAGTAGACTAGGAAAATGGTTCCATGCCCAGCTGATCATCAGGGTCACAGGGGAGCTGGGTTGCCAAGTTTCTGCTCAGTGTCCGCTTCCCTTCTCTGCTGAGGTTCTCTAAAATTTTAATTATTCCTTCAAATTCTTTGTCCACTTGTTCTTCTGAAATGTTCTATCCTCCCTACGACTTTCTTGGTGGTTTTCTCCTTCCTCTTCACTTACTCAATTTCCTGAAATGCTCTGCTTTTCCACCCACCAACTTGAGTCCCACACAAATAGCATAGGATAGCATAGAAATCATCATCACTTTATATTTACCATGTGTTTTCATATTTATTCTCATTCATGCTATCTCCTAAAGAACATACCACCCAGCTAAGTTCTCCCTCTCTCCCATGCTCAATTGGTACACAATGGCACGTGTAGGAATGTACACATGTAATAGGATGTTTAATACCAGTCTTCCTGAGGTCTACTGTTTCCACCAAATCCCTAAAGATAGAGAACAGTGTAATAGATGCCACATCCCCCATATACTAGAAGGTGTTAAACCACATGCAAAACACCTCAGTAGCTTAAGAAACCAGTGTTGCTGCAATTAGTACATCACTTGCCATTGTCCCATGGAAGGAGTCAACCACACCTTTACAGAGTTTTGATGCTGATATGGCTTGGCTGCGTCCCCACCAAATCTCAACCTGAATTGTGTCTCCCAGAATTCCCACATGTTGTGGGAGGGACCCAGGAGGAGGTAATTAAATAATGGGGCCCGGTCTTTCCTGTGCTATTCTCATGATAGTAAACAAGTCTCATGAGATCTGAGGGGCTTACTGGGGGTCTCTGCTTTTGCTTCTTCCTCATTTTCTCTTGCCGCCACCATGTAAAACATGCCTTTTACTTTCCACCATGATTCTGAGGCCTCCTCAGCCATGTGGAACTATAAGTTCAATTAAACCTTTTTTTTTTGTTACCAGTTTTGGGCATGTCTTTATCGGCAGCATGAAAATGAACTAATACAAATGCTTTGCTCTCCTCTCAAGTCAGCTGGCATTTCTGGGATCACTCAGAGAGCCTAACATGTCTCTTAGGGAATATTAGGAACTAGTATCTAATACTTGCTTGAAAATATAAAGGAAAAGGCTTGAAGTGGCAGAGGAGAGAGAAAGGCAGAGACAGAGACACAGAGAACTGCCCTCGGAGCGATGTGCACTTGGATGTGTATCTGCAGAGCAATGATGTTTCCTGGTGGACCATGTGTGTGACATGCTGGGTGGAGATGACCTGGAGTCATCTGCAAAGGGGGCCAAAGCTCTGCTGCTGTGATGGACTGAAATGGAGAGGGGTAGGCTCTTGCAGTGGAGAGCCTGAGTGTTGGAAACTGACACAGCCATTGGGGGAGTCAGTGCCTGGTCTGCTACAACAGCATTGGGAGGCTCTGGAGGGGCATCTTAGAGAAACCACAGAGATAAAGCTTGAGTGAAGAGTGCACTTGGAAATTCTGCCAGGCCAGAGGCCACCCACTGCACAGCAGCCAGAAACTGTACCCTTTCCTGAATCCCTTTCTCCACCCTCATCAGGGCCAGAAATAGCAGCCAGCAAGTAGCTAAGATGCCAGTGGAGAAAGAAAAGCAGCCACCTGCCCTGGTCCTGCTCGGCAGGCAGTGCAGAGCTGAGGGAGCTGCAAAGCTCCAGATGGGATCAAGTATTATTTGGGACTGGGCATATTAACTATGAGAAGAAACTTACTCTCATGACTAACAGGATGAGACACATCTTAAGACCTGCCCAAGACTTGCCAGGCCCAGGGCAAAAACTAGCCTTCAGAGCAGGTTGAAAGGGACACAGGGGAGTTGAGTTCAGATTAGCGAGGACTCAATGGCACACAGGCAATAACGAGCAGGGGAGCAGACAAGAACAGACGAAAACATTCATTGACCTACAATTAAAATAACTGGGAAGGCTGTGGACTTTCTATTTTGACTTGGTCATTCTCACTGCAGTCTTTCCTATGACCAGAGGTTGGGCTTACAACCAGGCAGTGATGGATGCTCTTTAGCTTCCAGGTTCTTGATTGCCATTAGGTACCCTGCCTGCCACTGATGAAATGGGAAGTGACTTGGTTATGGATTTATAATCCAAAACTAGGCCTTCTAGAGACTGTTGAATAGCGTGCTTTTCTGCTTAGTTGTATTTTTGCATAAAAATACAAATCTTTAATAAAGCCAGATCAGCCTAAACTAGTACCGGCAGAACATGAACTATTGTTTTAAATCATGAATTCTCTATTTCTATAAGGAAACAGGAATATCTAGATATTTTCTTTCTAGTCCAGAGGTTCATATATGCATTAAAAAATTGTTATGATCTTGTTAAAATACAGGCTCCTAGGCCCTGTCCACAGCGATTCTGGGTTAATAATCTTGGGGCAGGACCCAGGAATCTGTGTTTTGATAAGCACTCAAAGTGACTCTGATATCTCTTGCAATTTGAGAAAGATTATTTTATTGGGTACAATGTACACTACTCAGGTGATGGTTGCATTGAAGTGTCAGATTTCACCACTATACAATTCATCCACATAATCAAAACCACGTGTACCCCAAAAGCTATTGAAATTTAAAAAAAGACTGTTGTAATTATTAGTGATCATATTACCACTCTTTGTTCAGTCTAACCGTTTGCTTTTTCCC